AAAGGCGCGTACGCTGCGAAAAAATTCACCAAATAATTTATATAGAATATAAATAAAGTTACTGGTAAATCAAAGATCACTGAAAATGCATTTATATTTGAAATAAGTGGTTCATGCAACGATCAAAATAACAATTTATATGGAATTATAATAAATAAATTATTATTTTAATCGTTTAGAAATTATTATTTTGATCGTTGCATGAGCCATTTATTTCAAATGTAAATGCATTTTCAAATCTTTGATTTATTAGGAGTTATTTTCACTAAAGGTGCGATTAAAGTCTCATTATGAATGCATTTGAATGACCAATCAGAAGAAAGAATTTTACTAATTCGCCAATGAAAGAACGCTTCAAAGCATTTAGAGCATTCGTTGATTGTACGTTATTCCAAATATTATGTAATAAAAATTACAATATTTGGAAATCAGAGTTGCCTACATAATTTTATAAATAAGCGATTTGTATTTCGTTTTTTTGAATATTTATTAAGTTTCTACGAAAGTATAAAAAAACTTACTCTTTTCTTGCTGCCTTAGTCCGCAGATTTCCGGCTGTTTTTTGCATGTTGATTTGATCGCTTGTATTACGAGACGTGAGATATAGGACTGTAAGCTTGGTGGACAGTATCTGAAACCAAACGATATAATATGACTTTTATCGTATTTCTTACTTCCGAAAAATATTTACAAGGCGATACCAATTTCATAAATATAAACTCTGACCAATTTTTTACTTTCTTAATAAAATAAAATATGAAGATGTTAACAGCTTCTAGCCATAGTTTTGTAACTACAGTTGTAATTTATATCGAATAAGCAATACTAAAACTTTATATATGTATGCTTTGACCAGTTGGAGTTAATTTCCTTTTTTTTTTTTAAATATGAAGATGTTAATTTTTAGTGACAGTTTTATAACAATTACAATTAATATCCCATAAGCAATTAAGTATATAAAACATTCGCAATTAAGTTTTCTAAATGAGAAAGAAAGAAAGAATATCTTTTTTTACACTTACATAATTAGGAAAATATTAAGAAAATAAAAAAGTTAATGTATACATATATCTTTATTTTTTAATAAAAAATCTATCCTCTTCAGTTGTATATTATTTACAATTTTCGCACTAAAAATAAAATAAATAGATATTCAGAATTTCTTTATAATAGAAAAAGAGAAAAAAGTCACATAGGTACATGTAAGGAAATATGTACATAAAGTGCAAAAGAAGCGAGCTTCAATATTTTGGATATCTTTCGTTTATCGTGTATCGTGTGCATAGTGTTTATCCTTTCCGTCTGGTTCATGATAACGATGGGCGGTGATAGTCTCGTAACTCTCGTGACAGTTTCAGTTAAAATAAATAAATGCGACGGCAGCGCGGAAGTAGCTTTCATTTCACGACGATTCGGTCATTTCGCGCCTTCGAAGAACTCGCGGTTCGAGAGGGTAAATTTCTTACATAATCTTAGGTACGTTTCCTGCTCGCGTGAGGTACCGTGCAACTATGCGTAACTTTTTTGCGTGTCGATTTTTTTCCACGCCGCATATTGCACGATATTCTCGTGTCTTTGAAAGAGTTCGAATATCTTTGTGCTACAGCTACAATATAAAAGTCGCGTTTATTGAGAATTACAAGAGAAAATATTTCGTAACTTTCTCGACTTTCTTCTTGTATAAAAAAAATAAACCATTGCAATAATGCCTTCATAATATATATGTATATAAGGTGTCTCAAAAATACTAACTTTAATACTTCGGTTTATTAGATTTGTAAGAGATCTTTAAGTTTACATTTATTAATGCAATAGTTAATGAACTTGCGTTTATTTTTCAAAAAACAACAAATTACAAATAAAAAATTTGTTTAAAATAAAACAAATATAATTTTAAAATGTGATGACATCGAAATTAAATAAACCATCGTTAAATAATTTTCATAGAAACCTAGTTTGAACGGTATTAAAAGATGTGAAAAATTAAAAGATTCAAAATTAACATATGTTCTTTGTTTCTTCCACATATGTCTATTATATAAATAGACCGTTCGATTTTCTTGTTCTTAATATTGCATCTGTACGTCACAATATTTGATTAGTTCTAGAAAAAGTTATAAAATAGTGCAAAATTAGTTAGATAATTACACATAATATTTAGTAAAAGAAATTTGATTTTTCAACAATACACTAAAAAATATTTAATAAATCTTAATACATATTTCTTTGAATAATACTAACAATAAGTGAACATTTACTTACAGTAAATAAATATTTACTCAAGAAAAAAATTATAGTTAAATCAAATTAATGGTTTTTGGATATATATTAAATAAAATATATTTATATCTCGTAAATATTTACTTAGAACTATTTAAATAAATATTTATAAAACTTTAGTTTTTTGTTCACAGTGTGTATAAAGAAAATCTGATTGATATGCCAAATGAGCGAGTCAGTATCGCCGAATTATCTAAAAAAAAATTCCCGTTTCTATGATTGTTTTTGTAAAGTAAAGTAATAAAAATTTTGTATCAGAAATAATTTTCATTTTAATTGCTCGCAGAAGCAAGTTTTGCCTGGAAAAGAGTCTCGAGTAAATAAATGGATATTCGAGAGGACTACCATCATAACAACGTATCTTACAGGAATTTATATATGTAAATATTAATAAAAACTGATTGAAGTTTAAATTATTGTGTTTTTTTCACTCTCCAGTAAACACAAAGTAATGGTAACATAACATCAATGCTACAATTTCATACTCAACAATGTAATGGTTATATAAAACATATTATATCTGTATATTGTTGAGTGTGAAATTATGACATGGATGTTGTTACCCTGGTAAAAAAATTGATAGAGAACGATAGGATTTCTATCAATTTGTATGGTTTTCTATAAGTTTATATCATTTTCTATCGTTGACCTCGCGATTGATCGGATATGAATCCTATCGTGTTTTATCGGATTTTATAAGATTTGTACAAGATTTCTATAAGATTTGATTCAAATTAGTGAATTTACGAACTAAATTTCGTATTCAAAACGAATTTTTTTATCGTTCTCTATCAACGTTTTTACCAGGGTAGTTTATTGTCTTATGTGCAGAAATGATGAATCATCAATTAAGCCGCAGTCAAATCTTAACGCTCATTGTGATAGAAACGATTCAGAGGCAATCAAATACGTGTTTCTCTATTTTTTCTAGATATCTCGAGTTTTTCGTTCAAAAATAAAATTGTCTTTACAGATAAAAGAGATTAGAAAATGATGTATATTTCGCGCTTCACGCGGACGAACGCAAGCGCGGTGCCATGCGAGATTTCGGTACGTCGGTGCGGAATGTCAAATGCAAACGTACGTCTACAATTTGTACACACAAACGCATGACAGTAGGGCATCATACCGCTCCTACGTGGATGATTAATTCAAACAACAAAGCGAGAGTTTGCTTACATTCGATTGAGGTACTGTAGAGTCACGCTGATGATCTCACCGACGAGCTCGTTCTCGTTGACGTCGTAAACGCTCACCTTCACCGGCAGCTGATCGTCCGGGTTCACCCTGACGACGAACTCCGCGAAGAATCGCGAATACTCGCCGAGGTAATCGCCGTCCGCCACGCAGTCCGCGGCCATTGTCGCTCCGTAAGACGCTCGTATAAACGCACGTGCCTCGGAGGAGCGACGCGCGACGCCACGCCACGGCACCGCTCCACCGCTACCGCTACGCGTCTCGTTCCGCTCCGCCTGTAGTGCGCGCCGCCGCACACGTTCGACGCGCCGAACTCGTAAGCGTAACGTACGGGATACGCGATGTACTCCTGGACACCGATCGCACCGTCGCCGCACCGATTCCGACTTACTCCGACTTTAAGGTACGCCAACCACGCGACCGATGTACGCAATATTTATATATATATATATGTATAAAGTTATATCATTCATTCAGCGGAACGTCCCGCGTCGCACACTCGCCAACCACTACGTAGTACAGATACGCGGAACATGATTCGGTTGCGACTCCGATGCGTACACGTGTGTATGCACGCACGCACCTATGTACGTGTCACACGTATGTGGAACGGAAAGAGCGGCGTAATTACGAGGAAGGACGGAGAGGGGAAAAGAGAGCGCGAGTAGAAGCAAGAGTGGAAGGGTCGCGCGCCGCGACGTTCGAAACACTGGACGTTCTACTTGCTCCGTTTGTTCGCGTCTCGCGATCCCGTGACTTTTCTTCTTCCATCGGCGCGCGAATCGACTCCTTGGCGACGTAGACCCGCTGGGAGATCGCCAAGCGACGTGTCCTCGGACGACCACGCATGTCCGACACCCGCGACCTTACCGACGCAACGATCCCGCGTCGTTCCGCTCCGGGAGATTCTGCGCCGTCGCTCGCGGCCGGTGGTTCGGTTTTCAAGGTGAAAACAAATCTCGCGCATGCGCGGCTCGCGCTTCGTTGCGTTCAAAAAACGTTGCTCCTCTCTTTCGCGGGAAATGAATAGAAAAACTGAAAGAATTAATCTACGTCGAAATATGTCTGAGAGTTCCATCCTTCCCTTGTAGAAAAATATTATTGGACTTAAAGAATACTATTGGATTGAAAAAAATGGAACGAATAGTTTGAGTACAATATTCGATTCAAATAATCTTCCAATTATTCCTAATCGCGTTTTTCATAAGTTTGATAGACTGAAAAAATATTTACTAAATCTTAATACATATTTCTTTGAATAGCATTAAATATTTACTTACAATAATGACTATTCCTGGATTAAAGACGGTAATTTCAAGGAACTAAAATGACATAACTCATATAAAAAAGAATGAATTATAAGTAATAATAAAAATAATTTTAGTTTGCAGGATGTAACACAAAGGAAATTGAATTGACAGTTTTGACAAAGAGATTTATAAATGAGTGGAACCAATAGATCCATCGTTGGCTCTGGAGAAGCTCGATGAAATCAAGGAAGGTAAATCACCGTGAATCACGCATAGTTTGGCGCAAACGTGAGGTATCTAATCTTATATGCCACGATCGCATATTTATTCACAGACTGCAAAACTTTACATATGTATTATTGTACACACTTTAAATAATACATGTATGGACTTTAAATAATAAATACATGTATAAGCTACGTTCAATCTTAAGATAACATAAGAAATCTGTTGTTACAATATAGTACATCTCGTGTCGAGAGGAGATACCTCTACGCCCTGCTTCATCTCTTTGCTTCGTATATGCAGATACGAGTTCTCAAACTTCTTTTGCATCCATTCGGGTAGAGGAGTGCTCCAGTTTTCTGGCGGTTTCTCCCTCTTCTCCCAGACGTTGTTCTGATAATGTGCATGCAATCGGTTATATCGGCGTTGCTTCTCACTCTTGATCAGCGCATCCTGCAAAGATTTCGTTCCAGTATTATTTTACTTCACCGAGAGAAAAATTTTTGGTATTTGTAACTATAATTATATGTTACTATAAATAAGATTATTACTGCTATAATGTTAATAATAATAACATGTATAGTTCTATCAACAAATATATATAGTTGGCCACGGAAAACTATGATTAGCATTGTAGACTGTAGCGGGTTTTAAATTCACCTGTAGTGGAATTCTGTAACTCGTTATGCAATCGTTATGTGCTCATAACGACAGCCGCGCAGATATTTTATATGGTAAAAAAACTGTGCAACTGTCATTATGAACTCGTAACGACTGCATAACGAATTACAGAATTCCACTACTGGGTTGGATTAATGCTTTGTTATTGATTGACATTATATACTCTACCAATAATAGAGCTTGTGTAGTGTCATTAATCCAACCCAAATCAATTCAAAACCTGCTACAGTTGAAAACGCTAGCATGATTATAATTACTATTATCATAAAAATTGTTGCAATTGTTATAATGTAACTATATAATTTATAGTCATTTTTTAAGACAATCATTTTCGAGCCAAATGACTATAAATTGTAGTTAAATTATAACAACTGCAATTTTTACAATAATAAGTATAATAGTAATAAGTATAATAGTAATTTTTGGTTTCCACTATATATATTTGTAGAAGTATAAAAAAAATGATTACTAACATTATAGAGGTAATAATCATAATTATACTAACATGTGATTAAATTATTTATAAATTATATATACAAATACCAAAAGTTTTTCTCTTAGTGTCCACCATACATTCAGACGTATTATTGTTAAAACGTTTATGGCAACCTGCATACATATGTCTCTTCCGCTACCCATTGATAGCAATTGTGATAATCGGTCTTCCATTGGTTGCAGTCGACTGTTTCGCCGAATATGAAGTATTGATGGAAACGAGCCTTTATACTGCTACAATCGTCATACTCATCTTTGTACACCATACACGGTCTAATCTAAAGGAAATATACAAATATAAATTACATATAAATTGAATGTCCAATGGAGAATGATATGAATACAAGTGTAATCGCATACCATCCACTCATAATCGCGGAGTGGCGTTTTATCTTCTTTTTTTGATTCGCTCATATTCGCTAAAATATATCAATATCTTTTAGATCACACATAAAATTAGAGTTGTCTATTTACTCGCCGGACACGTGTTTAACATACAGCACAATGGCTGCGTTCAGCAGAACGGTTGTTTTGCAACTGTTGGAAGTTTCCTTCGCGCTAATTGGATCATACTTTTAGATCTAGAAGAATGGTCCTATCTCAGCAGACAATCATAAAACGGTTGCAAAACTGTTGAGTCTGCTGAACGCAGCCAATGTACCATGACTGATAAATACTAAAAGCAATATTAGGTTAGATTAGGTTAGACACGCATGATACATTCGGAACGAAACCGTTCGCTCGGTACGAATACGTAGAATATTAAATTCCCTAAATGTGCAAGCAGAGTGACAATTGCGAAAATAAAAAAAATACAAGTGTATTCGAGTCGAAGACGCTGAAGTTGGTTGAACTGCTGACAGTGGCTGACAGCTGAAGTTGGTCGCGATAGAAAGTAGTGATGCGACATTTAAAAAAAAAATCG